AAAGAATATTAACATTGGTATTTAATGTTTTTAAATGTACAATTTTTCTTTCGATATTCTTATAAGATTGAAATTATTTTTTAAATGCTTTTTAGAAAAGCGAATTCTACAAATTCAATAAACGTTTGTTTTTAATCTAATTTAAATTAAGGATAATTTAAATAAAATAACAAAATTATAAATGTAAAAATTTGGTTCCACTCCCCGCGTTACAGGGTCTTGTAGTTCCGCCCCTGGTATATAGATTTGATTTCAAAAAAAATAGGAAAAATATATTTTGAGGTCCAACGAATATTTTGATAATATATATTATATATTTAAATAGTATAGATATATAAAAGATAAATTACATCTATCTATAAAGTAAATTTCAATGTTTATATTCACTTTTATCAAACGAAGCAGATCGCTTGTAAAAGACCGACAAAACAACATTTATATTTTCACTGTTTATTCTGTTTTTCGTCGATTCGTATTATTTTCTTTGCTTAGATATTTCGAAAGACAGTAAATAATTATTATTTTCTTTCTCGTGTCAAGCTACGTGGAACATGTCGTAACACCTTCACGAGCACATTGTTTACATTTCTTTTGTTCCGTTCTCATGGAACGTCTTTAAAGTAAAACTTGGCGGAGAAAAGGAATGTAAATAATTTCTCCCCTCTCATTTTTTCTCTTCTTCTTCTTCGATTTTTTTTTTTTACTTTGATTATTATCAAGATACATTTCGATATCTATTTTCGTAACACACACGTTGTTATTACGTTTACGAAATCGTTACGTTCCTCCAATCGAATTCTATCGAAAAAGGTTTGTTAGTTTACAGAAAAACGATTCTATTTCAACGGAAGTTGAAAGTAATTAAAACTCATTATACTTGCAATTAGATTCGAAGTTTGTATTCCTACTACGAAATTCCGTTGATTTTAATTGTTTTTATTGCCTGTATCAGGATAACACTTTTTTGTAACATTTCTAAATTCGAATGTAAAATAATTTTGTTAAATATCGTCTATCGAAAAAAACAAAAATTGAATTAACGTATAAGCTTATATTAATTTTTAAATAACATAGGGTATCTCATGATTAATATATATAAAAATATACACATAAATATCAATTAAACAAAACAAAAATATATATATATATATATCAATTGTTATTTTTATAGAGAATCATGCAGCTTTGTAAACGAGTCGGAAGACACAGCACCGTTATTGGGAGAGTCGTCAGCAATGGTGGATATAGTATCAGGATTTCCGGCTTGTCCTCGAGGAGACAAATACACGATCTTGGCCGATGTAAAAGATGCCGTATTGCAGCCTGACGGTAGCATGAAAGTAGACGGTGTTATTTTACCGAGCGGCCAGTTTTGCGTCGAGAGGATCAAGGAACTCAACCAGGCGGTCAAGGTCTTTGCCTGTTCCGAACACGCACCTCAAAGGTGAGAGTGCTTACCTTCTTCCTTACTTTCATCATTTTGTTTTATTTTTACCTTTCTTTCTCTCTCCTCCCTTTCTCGTGTTTTATTATTTTTTATTTTTTTATTTTTTTTTTTAACGAGTCTTTTTTATTCTTATTACTCTCTTTTTAGCTAATGCGAAAGGTTCGACCATTCCTTGTAAAATACCAAAGAGTTGACTAATCGTTTGCCCGTTAGAAAGAAATCTTGAATTTCTATTGGTGTAGACTCAACGCAATCTTCCTTTTCCTGTAATATAACTGTATAGTCAGCCATCTTTCTTCATGGATATTAACTTTACATCGGCACCATAGGTCTTTTAGGCTTTTGCATCATATTTCAATAATTATTTTTATTTTAAATTCAAATTGTAAATAACAAAATAAATTACGCGTAGGATATTCTATGGCAAATTTTTCTGTCAAATGAATTTGCATCTGCGATTCCGTTGAAAATTTTATATAATATATACTATTTAAAAAAAAAAAAAAAAAGAAAAAAATTCCTCTCTCGAAACAGAGTGGTCGTAAAAATTTGAAAACAAAAAAATAATAATTTAAAAAAAATAAAAAATATCATGAATACATCTTTCGCCGAGCTCAATAACATATAAAATTTTCAGTGAAATCGCAAATGCAAATTCATTCGGTAGGTAAATTTGGCATGGAATGCAGGCCCCCTCCCCGCCCCCAATATATATAATTCTAGAAATATAGAATATCTAGAAGATTGATATTCTAAAAACCTTTAAGAGTATTAGTATAATTTAAGAAATTTTTTTTTAAATAACAATATCTATCCATGGTGAAATTAATAAGATTCACCATGACGACTATAAGTTAAGATAGAAAATTATAGAACCTGACATTGTCGTCGATGATGCGTGAAACATCTTCGACACCGAACACGACGAACGAATGTACGAAAGAACGAATGAACGAACGAACAAAATGAACGAACGAAACGAAGAGTGAAACGTTGCATGACTAAATCCCCACTAACTGTTTTACAGAACTTTGCAAGAGAGAGAGAGAGAGAGAGAGAGAGAGAGAGAGAGAGAGAGAGAGAGAGAGAGAGARAGAAAGAAAGAAAGAGAAAAGATATTTTCTTTCACTCCGTTATTTATTCAGACACAACGCGTCATGCAAAAATACACGAAATATCATTTCATTGAAAATACTGTCGGCTTAATTGCAAAGAATTGTTGGCGAGTCGTGGATGTATTTTTTATTCGATTTATTGATCTCCCGTAGGATTTCATTTATATACTTTCCAAAGCATTTCTAGATCGAATGATTGATTATAAAACGTGAATTCGATCGGTCGAATCGTGTTCTCCAAGTAGGACAATAATATTAATTACAGACAATCTCTTTCCCTCTCTCTCTCTCTCTCTCTCTCTCTCTCTCTCTCTCTCTGTCTGTCTCTCTCTTTCTCTTTCTTTTAAGATTTTATCAACAACCGGAACATTTCCTGTAAATATCATATTATCATCTGGAACGTGCGAACTGTAGACTTTTCCTTTAAGAGAATAGAAAAAAGAAAATGACGTAACTAGAGAGGATGTGTAACCGAGTGAGTGAGATAATCGTATACACCACGTAGTTTTAAAAGTGCAGTCGACGTAATTAGTTTCCATTCCTCTTCGGTGTGAGATAATTTATTTATTATATTTTAAAATAATATTGAAAAAAAAAAAGAAAAAAAAAGCAGAGAGAGAGAGAGAGAGAGAGAGAGAGAGAGAGAGAGAGAGAGAGAGAGAGAAAGAGAGAAACGAGATGAAAGGTGAGAAAATGAAACGAAAAAAAAAGGTTGATCAAAGTTAATGAATTTTTCGAACGTGTTCATAGCAATTAATTAAACATATATCGGTACGTTTAATTGAGGTAAAAAGGTGATAAACAAGAGTAACTTGAGAAAATGATATATATGGCGAGTATGCTCATTTTGTTTACTACCATCGAATAGTTGGAAAAAAGAGAGAGAGAGAAAGAGAGAGAAAAAGAGAAAAAGATGAAGAGTGGAAATACCTCGTTGATATGTACGCGAAGAGGTTCGATTATCGATCGATTTCCGTTTCCCCTTTGAACGAGTAGTCTCTTTGAAAAAGCATGCATACGTTATACCCTTATTTGCGATCGCGAAACGCGCAGATGCTGTGCTTGCAGCACACCGTCATTCTGAAGTAACGCGAAACCTCCAATCCGCATAAATATTATCCCCATGTTGGAAATTCCGTGGTCCAGACTTTCTTTCTTTCTATATTTCTTTTTTCTTTTTTTTTTTTATATTTCTTTATACATCAGTAGCGGAAATACAAATAATTCGACCACCCCGCAAAATATACTTTTGAGATTTTAGGAAAAGAAAACCAATTTATATTATATTATATAAAGAATATATTAATATTGATATTTAATGCTTTAAAATAAACTATTTTCTCTGTCGATATTTTTATAAGATTCAGCTATATTTTTATACTTTTTAGAGGGGAAAATCGTAACAATTCTTATATTACAAAAAACTTATATTGTAATATATAAAGAATATTAATATTGATATTTAATGCTTTAAAANTGATATTTAATGCTTTAAAATAAACAATTTTTTAAAGATTCAAATTCTTTTGTAAATTCTTTTTAGAAAGGAGAATTTTGTAAATTCAATAAATCTTGTTTTTATTTGTCAGGGTGCTTTTAATCTAATTTAAATTAGGGATAATTTGATTAAAATTAGGAAAATAATGAATGCATAAGTTATCGGTCACCCGTCCCGCCCCTCGTGGCGGGATCTTACGGTATTGTAGTTCCGCCCCTGCTTTACATTTACCTTTTTTCTTTTTTTTTTCCCCCTTTCTTTTTTTCTTTATCGCTTCAGATACCTATATCGTCCTTTTCCCAGATAATAAATGGAAATTTAAAGACTCTTCTTCTATGCTACGTTCTCCGACACGTTTTTATGGCCAAATTATCGAAGAATCTTTTCAAAACGTTTTCTCCTCTCTCAACCTCTTTCCTGACTTTCTCTTTTTGTTGATGTGTGTGTGTATGTATGCCCTATGTGTCTGCCTGTTTATGTTTTCTTTTTGCTGTGTCTAGTTTTTTACAATATAATTTCAATATTATTTCCTTCGAAATTGTTATTATGCAAACTAATTTATTTCTTAATTAATCATAGATATTATTCTCGAACAAAGAAGCTATGAATATATATATCTATACATAACTTCATAATAATCATATAATAAAATATTATAGAAAAATGAATGTTTATCTTTCGCTATGCGAGAAGACGTTCGAATGATGACCGCACTTGAAGAATGATTCATACGAACGAGTATAATTATATTTTTCCGAAAGAATTCATCCAGTACTTTTTTTTTTTTACATTTCTAAGGATAATTATTTCAATCTAAATCTTATATAAACGCAGTTAATTTTCTTATTTCAAATGAACTCGAAGAATTACTTAGGATGAAAAATATGGTAATATCATTGGTAAATATTTTTATCGATAATTCGAGGTCAGGAAGACGAGTAAGGTCCAAAAGGTTGTATTACTTTTTGATTTCTCTTTCTCGAGGGGGATGAGAATGTACCATGAAGAATCATAGGTAGGATTGGTGGGGAGAATGATAGTAGGAGGGAGGGGAGGAGGAGGAGGATAAAGAGGGCAAAGGGCAAAAGGGCGAAGGGCGAAATTTAATCAGGCATGCGTTGGACGAAACGCGATGAAGTATTACGGTGCATTATTCGTATACGTTTCGATGGAACGAGAAACTTGCAAGCGTGCAAAAGAGATAGATGGATAAAGAGTGAACGTACGTACGTACGTGTACATGTATGTGTGGGAGGGAATGAGTGAGAGAGAAAGCGATCCCTCAGCATAAAAGATCGATGGAATAACTCGCTGGCATGCCATACTGGCACGCGGCCAATCGATCGGTCGCTGATACCGAGAGATAAAGTTACTTCCAGTTTAATTAAACTAGAAGCCGTTAGAAAAAGCTCAACGAAAGAAAGTAGTCAGGAGGATAATTTGTCTTCGGTTAGGCAAAAATTCAAGAATGAAATATTTGTTTTCTTTATTACCAAACGCGTTAAGTGAAACAAACCTTGTTATAACACTCTAATCAATTTTATTTTTTCAATCTAATATTATTTATACATTTTGATTGAATGATGATCAGTTTGAAAAGGGTGTGCAAGGATGGGGAAAGTTTACCTAATTGAACGTATGTATACTATATAGAGAATATGCGTGTGCATTGTTTTCAGGCCACACGTGCAAGCAACAGACATCAGGTTAACGCTATATCCCGTGGGCTTTATCATCAGCGCAGTGTTCTTGGCAGCAACCCTGGCTGCTGGTTGGCTGTTACCAGCGTCTCATCACGTTTTGCACTGGCGATGCCAGACTCATCATGTCGCTTGCTTAATGCTTGGCGATCTTCTTATGGCTATCATTCAGCTAGCTGGCGATTCCCTCCGCGGCGCAAGCTGCAAAACACTTGGTGAGTCATCCGTTTTTATTGCCCTTTTTACTTCCTCCTTTTTCTACCTTATATATGTCCCTTCTTGCTCACCCCCCCCCCAAACATCCATAGAGTGTTATGGCGTGCGCCGTGTTCCTTCGACCGTGCCACCCCCTTCTGAACAATCTTGGAAAGCGATAAGCATCAAAGGGTTCCTGGAAGTTGTGGAGGAAGGCTGGCTTTCCTCCTTCAGCTTATGTTAGCAGGACGTAGTACTCGCGAATAAGACCCGTCCCTTATCTAACCCCGATAAGAAAATTGCATCTGGAAGAAGAGATTCTTATCGTTTATGTTGAGTTTGAAATATTTTCTTACTTCGACACCTGCACTTAATCCTAATCCCTCTATCTTTTTGTCTGATATTTTTCATGACGCATTTATTTTTCTTTCTTTCTTTCTTTCTTTTTCTTTTTCTTTTTCTTTTTTTTTTGTTGTTGATATATTCTATTACCTTTACACCGGGATGATAACATCGTTGAAGGATGCAATCGTTTATATCTTTAATCTTATCGATAATTAACGCGTGCACACACGTGTCAATACGGATAACACTTTTTATTATCCCATTTTATTTTTATCTCAATGTTTATCTTTTATTGTAAGAGGATAAAATAAGGGAAGAAAATAATTTTATGATGTTTTGTTTCTTTTTTTTTCTTTCTTTTTTTCACTATTGTGTAATAACACTTGTTTACGTTCCAATGGTATGTTCTTTCACTACCTTATCTAATCTTGTAAAAAATAGGGAGAGAGAGAAGAGATAGTATATATAGATATAATAGAATATAATATATAATAGTCGGTATTTTCAATTTATTAATTCGTTTTATAATTTTTCATTTATTTTCAACTTTTCGCATAATATCGATGTTAAGGTTTTCTCAAAATATGATATTTGTTATCGAACATAAAGTTTCATAAATTAAACGTTAATATGATTAAACCGCAGTATAATATCTCACACCGAGCCCTAGATAAATTGTATCGTGAAAATTCGTTCGTAAAATTTGACAATATGTTTAGAATTTGTTTAGACTTAGCGTTAGGATTGAGAGAGGGAAAGAGGGGAAGGGGAAGGGGTAGGGGGTACTTTGGGAGCTGATCTCGATTATACGGTCAATGACAAATGGTGGAACTAAATACACAGATGGAATTGGTGGGAGTAGTGGCGCCTATACGACCGAGGCCAGCTTTATTTGCCTCCCTCGTTCTCGTACCTACAACCAACCCCTACCCAACTTGCCACCATTCCAAGCCCAACTCCCACACCCGTACACCCTCCCTTTCGTTGTCTATCTCCTCCGTTGGCGATCCCCAAAACTGCCGAGGTAATTATTCGGATAATCGTAGTAATCCCTCGTAAAGCTTCGTTTCTCTCGGTCCCGCGTTCCGATCGCGAAAATCGATTAGCGTGTGTATAGTTCGCGAGTGTTTCTGCCTTCCTAATGGTCCGCAGAGGCTCTCATTCGCATTTCTATCATTTATTTCATTCGGATCATCCCTATTTCTCCCCGTTCTCTTTCGTTCTATCCTTCCTTCCTTCAACCCACCGTGTTGCGTGTTAAATCCGGTTGCTACGTTATTTTCTCTCCTTTCTCCGTTTTTTTTCTTCCTTTTTCTTTTTCTCTCTGTCTCTCTTTCTTTTATCGAGAACGAGAGAGAGAGAGGGAGAGAGATTAACCAAACAATTTTTTAGGATTAACTCGTATTAACGGTCTCTCAGTGATTTTAAAAAACGCGAGACGATGTTTACCTTTTTCTTTTTTTTTTTTGTTTTTTTTTTTTCATTTATAGATATTTTATTTTACATTGGATTTGTTTGAATTGAATCGAATGAGTAGTATTTGATAATTTTTTTTTTTTAATTTCTAATGTTAAAATTTAATGATTACAAATAATTTTCTTGTAGAATTTGGATCATTTCGTGCGAACGTTATTCGTAAGTTTTCTTTTAAGTTAAGATTTTCGTTCGGTTTATTTATCGGAAGATGATGGTTGGATAGTAATAGTAACACCGTAACGATCGAAAGTTGGTCACGGGCCGATGTAATTTGTGTAATTTGTCGAAGATCGTTTGATTGAATGGACACTGCGATGAAAGCAGGTTTACAACTTCCTGTGAGGTAATAAAGCAGGGTCGATTCAAGAAGACGACTGGTCTTCAATCGAGAGGTCATGGACCTCTGACGAAAAACCGAAGAAAGGAGAAAGTGGAACGCGCCTTCGAGTGACCCACAATCTCCCTCTTTTTTTCCTCCTTCTCTTCCTCTCCCTTCTTCTCCTCCTGCTTCTCCTTCTTCTTCTTCTTCGTATTCTTGACTACTCCTCTCTTTCCACTTTACTCGGTCGTTTTATCTTCTCAAACTGAAACTCACACTCGCACTCTCCAATTCGTACGAAAGGATGTAAATAAATCGATGAGATTTCATTTAACTCTCGAAGGGGAAATATTTATTCGTAAAATTGTTGATAACAAAATTTGTAGAATATTTTTAAAGGGTTGGAGAAGGGTGGTTGGTAGTGGTGGTAGAAGAAGAGGAAGAGGAAGAGAGCAGAATGCATCAAGAGTGTAGATACAAATATATCGATAACGATCGGAAGGAAATATTTATTTAACAAATATGTAATGAAACAATGCGTAGAATTCAACATTTGTATTTTGTTTTATTCTTTTCATATTTTTATTCAGAAAGGGTAGGAAAAAATTGGATAGAAAGTTTCACATGAATTATGAATATGTTTTATTTTTTATTTTTATTTTTTTATCATCGAAGAGCGAGAGGCCAGATAGAATAAATTGTTGTTAAAAGTTGCGAGAATGCGGGCTTTAAATAAATTGATAGTATCGAAAAAGTAATATTTACAATATTTCAATGTAATGTATTATAAAAATTGACAATGAAATTTCTTTGCCGTAGAAAAAACGTTTCTTCGCCTATGTTCATTGAAATGCAGTTTTCTCTACGTTCGCCTATTTTCTCATCTCCTTCTTCTATATTTTTTCTTCGTAAAAATGTAGTCTCGAACGACAGGTAGCATGCAATGCTTGGGTATCCTATTACGAGAAAACCTAGCGTATCTAGATGTATCAACATGTAACTTTTTACAAGCACAATATACACGCAACCTGAAGTCACGTATCGTGACAAAATGAGAAGAAAAAGAGGGTTAATAAAAAAAAAAAAAAGAGAGAGAGAGAGAGAGAGAGAGAAAAAGGATTTCATATTAACTTATTCGCAATCATGATAACTGTAATCGGATTCCATTGATTGTTAGGAAATGCTCGATCTCTATGTATATATGTGTGTTTACTCGTCGAGTACCTTTAAGAGTCACTCGAATTCTTTTCGAGTGCCAAAGTTATTAATCCTCTCTCTCTCTCTCTCTCTCTCTCTCTCTCTCTCTCATTCAGTTACACCTTAATCCTCTTTGTTCAAATTTTCTTTTCTATAATTTTTTATATTTTTTTCTAATTCAATTTTTTCCTTCTCGTTTTCTTCCAATCGACCTTCCCTTCCTTTTGAGTGACGCAAAAGCGCTGAATAACGCGCACAAAATGTTAGCTCGGCAGCTTCGCTATTCGAAACGTTTTTCCGAACTCATCTCCACTTCTTCCTCTTCTTCTTCTTTCATGAAAGAAGAATGCGAACAAGAGGATGCTTTGTAAGTTTTTTTTTCTTTTTCTTGACGTATTCTGTAAAAAAAGGAAGGTATTGTGCTATAACCTCAATGATTTAGCGATAGATAACCTGGATCGTTGTGGTGTTTTTTTTCCTTTTTTTTCCTTTTCCCAAGGATTTTTCTATATCCTAGAGAAATCCGCGAACTTTTAACGCTACGATAACTGAGGAAAATTAAACGTTTCATCTCTGAAACTTTAACGAGTCGTGTTTATTCGTATCGTCATCATCTTCGTATCGTTATTTCCATCTTGAAAATAAATTGGAAAAATCTGTAAAAAAAAAAAAAAATGACGAGTTTTATCAAATTCCCATCTAATGGTCATCTTTGAATCGTTATTTTTCATCTTGAAAATAAATTGGAAAAATCTGTAAAAAAAAAAAAAAATGACGAGTTTTATCAAATTCCCATCTAATGGTCATCTTTGAATCGTTATTTTTCATCTTGAAAATAAATTGGAAAAATATTTAGATACGGGGCGGATTGAAAAAAGAAATCATTTCAATTTCATAGAATTTTGTATTCCCGCGATTTCGAAGTTCATCTCATTCACGGCGCCAAACAATTTTTTTCATTTCCTTTTGATTTTCGTATAAAAACTAATGACAAAATCGTACGTTCGATTTTGTAAATTTGAAATGTGTATTATTTCGATTTAATTAGATGACTGTTTGATCATAATTATCGTAGTTTTTTTAATATTCTTAAATCTCTATAAAAGCAATACTTTGTTTAGCTTTGAGTATCGATTGCGGTCGAGTTTCGATAATAAAGAATTTCGATAAGGAGTAACGCCAAAGTTTTCTTACTTACATTAGCTGGCCCCCAGTCATTAACAACGGAGCCCTTTATAACTAATAATATCTCTGCGTTTCATACACACACACAAAAATATACCATATATATATATATATATGAAACGTATTCATATAAATAAGAATATTGAATGGAATCGACTTATTGCGATTTTTGAGCACAGAATTTGATAAAGAACGTATGCCAATTAGAACCAATGTAAATGACTTACTTCAACGTCCGATCAGAACTGACGTTTAATTTAACGTTTACAAAGTGCAAAAGAGTAAGATTTCTTTTTTTGTTGTTTTCTCTTTTTTTTTTTCTTTTTTTTTTTTTTTTTGAACACGAGAATGTTTTAATCAACTGAAAAAAAAATTTAAAAGAAAAGAATAAAAGAGGGAGGGGGTGGTGAAAAGGAAGGTGGTTGGTTAAGTGGGTGGTTGTAAATGTGCATGTGCATGTGCAAGGGAGATGAATTCGTTGGTGGAAACAGTTATCTC